GGAATAAGACATAAATGGAATATATAGGTGACTACAGAACAGACCGAATGGAAAATCTGAATTCAGAGACGTATTCCTAATAGACAATTGTCAGAATGCAAACGTTTTTTCCACATCAGGGACCGTGCGCATAAATGTACACTATACGTTGACGAAATGATTATTACTAAGTCTTGGGTGACTGTACGCAAACAGCACGAATCTTTAATTTAGAATATTAGATTTGAAACGAACAGTAACCGAAACCCAAAAAGTTTGGGCAACTTAATGGGACATTTTTCGAAAACTCAACATTTTCCCCTAATAACCTTCCAAATTTACCCCAGAATTTCCCCTTAATACCGTAAAATTACCTCCTGATTTTTTTATTTGGGTATAACAGGCTGTATTATTCAATTGTTCTACTGAAATTTATCGCGTCTCTAAATTTTCTGTGTTTATTAAATCCAGGTATCTAATTGCTAGAAAAAAGGTTTCATTTTTTGAAGCCAGAGAAATAGCATTTTTATTGTTAGTTCAACCCAGTGATTTCGGATCAGATTTACTCATTGGAAATAAAAGTCTCGAATCATATGTTAATCCTTTTCTAGTTAGTTTCTGTGTTTGTCTAAACCCTTCTTGAATGAGTCAGTTGGAAACGCTGACACGGTCTCCTCTGGGGTTCGGTTCCAAGAGTTTATGACTCGGCGGGAGAGACGGCACTCTAAAGCGATATGGTTCCTTCTAGGTTTCTGAACTCTCCTGCTCTGTCCTCTGAGGTGTTCCGACTTGGTGGAAAGCAAAAACGAAATTCATTTCACGTCCATAGTAAATATTTAGAATTTTAAACATTGTATTGGAATCTCTTTGCCTACAATATGACAAGGAAAAGAGATCCAAACTGTTAACTCTTTCCTTGCATGATAAATTGGTGATGCCAAGAATCATACGTTTTGTCTCTATTTAAACGCTCTCTAGAATGTATGAGTCTTCTTAAAAGCAAAGGCTAAATCCCTGGATTCAGTTTTTCCAGTTTCCACCTCACCAGAGATTTAAATAAGGAAGTGAATATGTCACCAATGATTCTCGTAAACTGTCTGGGTATTGCCCGTACTGACCGAAATCTTTGAGCAGCCACGGCGCGATGACGTGCTATGGTTTTCAGGTTAAGCTTTATTATGACACCTATATCTATGTGAGTTTGAACTGGAGTGTTATTCCCACCAGTTCGTATGAGCTGACGTTTGCAAGTTCAATAAACATGGTTACACACTTTGCTACCTGGATTGGAAGCATCGTTCTTTGGACCCGATTTGTTGAGATCTTGCAACATGAGCTTGTCATTGTTATCTTTGAGCTCTTTGCAAATTTTTATATAATCTGTGTAGAGAATTATAGATTTTATGAGCACAGGTAATTCGTCACCATACAAGATAAATAAGCGAGAGCCAAGTGGGGTGCCTTGCAGCAGCCCACTACATGCCGTTGTTTAGGAGAAGAGTTTTGAGTGGATCCTGACTCTCTGTTTGCTAGCTGTGCAGAATTCTCTAGTCCAGTTTAGCAGATCGCCCTTGATTCCAAGACTTAAGGGTTTCATTAGCTGTCTTATGTGAAGTGTTTTGTCAAAGGTCTTGCCAAAGCCTTTGAAAACGACATCGACAGGTGTCCTGTTAACTTGACCAAGTTTCTTGTTACTGTAAGATTTGTTAGTAGTGGGAGGCTTCCCCGAAATCTGCGCTGTGTTCTGGGCAACAAGCTGTTTTCCAGATATGCTGTGATAGATATCTTGATAAGTTTTCTGGTGTATTGATTAGGGTGCTTGTGGGACTGATGGGTCTGTAGTTTGGAGAATAGTGTCTGCAGCTTTCTTTGTGGATGGAGGTTACTAGTGTCTTTCCAGTCACAAGGTACCACTCCATTCAATAGAGATAGCTTGTATATCGTAGTCGATCGAAAGGCTATGTAAGCCGCTAGCTCCTTGCGAAGCCCTATACAAAGGTCATCGGATCCCATCAATTTCCTTGCGTTTGGTTTCTCTAGGGATAGAAATGTGGTGTTTTGGTCGATGTCGACGAAACCTATCCAGTGTTCCTTTGACGCAGCCACAGTTGGTTCTATGGGGTGTGACGACTTCTGTGTGAAGACTTTGGAGAAGTTGTCTGCCATTGCTTACGACTTTTCCTGGTCCACTTCTATTGTTTTGTTATCAATAGTCAGGTTCAGGACTCCGCCGGATGTCTGATACCTGTGATTTCTGCACGAAAATAGCTTCTTGGGCTGTGTCGTTGCATTTTGAGCTAGATACATTTCGAAGTTTACCCATAATTGACGAATTTTTACAGTAGATTTGTTCCTGGCAACGGTGTATAAATTTCTGACCTCAGAAGTTCCAAGTATAACAAAAATGTGCTAGCATTTATGCTTATGCCTGAGTAATCCCTGAATCTCTTATTTTATCCATAAGAGGGAGCTATGCCATCAATTCAGATAGCTATATCGAGCAATAAGTAGGTAAATTCTATCCTTTTGAAAACAACCTTCCGGTATAGAATACAATGCTTTATTTGAATATTGTAACTACAGTAAGTTTTGACGAGTTGATCACGGATTGATATCAGTTAGAGAAACCCATTGAAAACTAGCACTGGAGTACTAGATAGCTATTTCATCAGCCTAGTTTGGGACTCATTGGAAGTACGCACCCACCGCCAGGGTTCTAACCCAGGACCTTCCGGTTACAAGGCAAGATCGTATACTATTTAGCCACTAGGACCCGATTCAATGGCCGATGATTCCCGAACTAGGATGAGACAGCTGTCCAGTACTCCAGTGCTGGTTTCCAATGGTTCTCTAACTGATATCAATCCGTGATCAACTCGTCAAGACAAATATAATTCTTACAAACCGACTATTGAAAACTACAGTAAATACCAAACGCATTATTATCAGTATGCTTATTTGGATTAAGTGTAATATTACACCTTGTATCATCATCTAAAGTCACAGCATGATTTCTGATGGTAAAGAAAGAAAACATCATTATCCTCTCCTAGTTGAAGACTGTAAAATTGAGATTAGAAATTATGAAAGGTATAATTAAAAGTCATTCTTATTGGCATTCAGCATTCATTCTTGACCTTTTGTTAGAACTCTAAAATCTGTACTTTTATTCACTTATTTCTTCCCCTCTTCGTTTTGGTTTTCAATAAGAAAAAGATATAAAATTATTTTCATTTGATTTATTTTCTGCTTGCTGAGTCACCCTCTTTTGTGTTCCTTAGAGGGCAGCAAAAAGTGGGTCGGTGAACACCTATACTAGATAAGAAAAACCATTGATTTTATTCAACAAAGGAACGTATTTCTTTCCAGTGACTTGCTTAGTCAGTACTGCACATATGATGATAAGAATAAAGATAATTAAAATGATGCACTAAAGGGGGAGGGTAGAGTTGAAGTAGGCGAATTACAAACTTTTAAGGATTATCAAATAAGTGAACTCGTATAAAGATCTTAAAATTGTAGGTCAGTTGTTATGTGACAAATTGAGTACGATGATGATAAACGTAAAGAGAGCGAAGGTGAATTAAAGTGGAATGAATTCAAGTGGTAAAAGAGAATAAAATAAAAGAACAGTACTATGACCAAGGGAAAGAAAGGGATTTGACAAGACATTTCTGAACACATAGTGTAGGTTTCTGTCCATGTATAGCTAGAGTCTCGGTTATGCATAAGTGGAGAAAACGTAAGCTTTTGGAGTGGTTAGATTTGGTCCTGTAGACTACTTTGAAGGATAAATCATGTGGAACTGAATGACCTGACTCTAGAAGATGTCCAGAGATTGAAGACTTTGTCGTCCTTTTCTCACCTTTCATCAACCGAACCGGGTAGTAGTGTTCAGCTACGCGTTTACGGAGAACACGCTTACAACGTCCAATGTATTCAGCTCCATACGAGCATGTGAATGAGTATATGCACATAGAGATTGACATAAGCGGTAGTTTATCCTTAACGCATTGTCGAATCATATATCGGCTGGTAAATACTAAATGTATGTCAGCTGCATAAAACGAGCGTTTAATACACCATTTAGATAAACGAATTTTAATAACTTCAGCAACAGTGTCACTTTTGAAATCCAAATTCATAAACAATGTCTTCTTCAGCACTGTTATTTGGCTGTGGACTGTTTCTTTCTTGATGTTTCTGTCAATAAACCTTCTAGGATATTCATTATTTAAGAGAATTGTACGAAGGTTTTCTACTTCCATGTTGACCATACCTTAGAGCAAATTTTCCAAATTCTACAGCCTAGAGAACGGATAAGATTTCTCTTCCTGTCTAGAGGTACCCAACTGTTAAAGTTAGTGTATTGCCCTGTAAATGTTGACTTTCGGTAGATCGATCCTTTTAACGTGCCATTCTCTCTTCTATCTAACATCACATCTAAGAAATGAAAAACGTCGATGGGTGAGAACCATTAAGTTTTACAAAGAGCTGATCAACAGTTGAACAATTGTCATTAATATATCGCTAATACATATGCAAACTTGAGATTGCTTTCTTTCAATGAACCACTCAACAACATATACTAGATACCGTATTGTTTTTCTCTTTATTTTTTTTTTTATATTCCTGTACGTCCCCAGTGGTGGAACATAGGGCGGCTTCAAGCTAGAGGCTTGAAGTTTCGGTAGCAGTGGTGTTTTCTTCTTTTACGGGATGGGGTTGCTAGCCACCTGATGCCCAACCTTTCCTCTTTATCAGTCTTCTTACTGGCTTAGCTAGGTAAAGGAGTGCGTCCAGTGGCCGGAGATCGAACCCCGGACCACATACGTAGTCGACGCATACTGTTTATCTCTATTCTATTTAATTGTTGTTAAATGTGAATTTAAAAAGAAACACAACTGTTCTTTCGGTTTTTTGCTTGAATTTTAAACACAGGTAAAATTATGTAATTGACGACTGAGGAGAATAGCAAGTCACAATCGGAAACCGCATACTATCGTCTGATTATTGTAAAAATGCCTGTTAAACGACCATCTAGTCGTTTTATACCTACAAATACACGAAAGTAAGCTTTCGCTAGTTGTGCTCTTATTTTTTTCCAAAAATTTTTTAATAACACTTATAGAACACTTACAGAACCAGCGATAATACCACCTGTGATAAAACATTGTACATTTCCTGCTGTACCAAAACTGTCGAGTTTATCGTTTCTTTCAATCAGTCTGATAATCTGTTTGACGTCTACGCTAACTCAGTATATTAATCTATATAAAACGGTATGGTGGTTACCGAATTCATCAATTCAATATGCTATAGTAAGTCATACTGTTTAAAATAATTGAAAATTCACTTGACAGGAATTTGATCTAATCGATTATTATGTGATAGCGCATATCTTGTTTATGCTGTGTACACCATATCTTTATTTGATATTTATTAAGGTATGTTTATTTTTTTTTTTTTGTTTTTTTTTATTTTTGAATAAGATTTATATTCTCGTTTACAAGCGATATTATTATTGTTATTATTTCCTTGGACTCCGAGAGGAACATAGGGCTTCAACAATACATCTCCGCTTTCTTCTGTTTAGTGCTATCCTCTTCAGCTGGCTGGGTCCATGAGGTGTTGCGCATAATCTCTCATCTCCTCCATGTCACCCTTGAATTAACGACCCACTCGTACTCGCTTCCCATTGGGATTCCACTCGAACAAATGGCCTGTATCGAGCGCGGTGTCATTCGACCGATGGCCTCCTCACTGGCGTATGTCCGAATCAGTCTATCTCCATTCTCCTACATATTGGTTGAACAATCAATCGACTCTTAGTTGGTTTGTTCCAAACAGAGTTTTTGTTGCTGATTCTTTCTATTTGATCTTAAGTATGTAGCCAGCCAGAGAAGAAGTGGGCATGTGTTGATGAAATTCTTCATTTGTCTGTTGGAAATGTTTTTCGTGACTGACTCACGTGGAGTGCAAGTTTCGCATCCGTAGAGAACTCAGTGACTGACTAACTGACTTGGCATTTGTGTTGAATAGAATCCGAATCTATCTTGTTCTTCATGCTGGCTCGCTGGTTGGCTGAGTGAGTGAGTAAAGCAAGATTTGCAAACTGGTTTCAGGTTGATGAAGGCGTATCTTGCCTTTCCGATTGTGGCTGGCTGGCTTTGACATCTTCATCCGATTGCCCACCTACCTGTCTGTGATTGAAACCGTTCTGGCTTCCTAGCTGGCTGGATAAGTGAAGGCAGGAAGTAACCTCTTTCAGTCTTCTCCCTCCCATTGATGGTGATTGGTGCTGGTTGTTGTTGCTGTTGGTTGGTTGTGGTTATCTTCATCACCTCCGTCTTCCCTATGTTCACCCGGAGTCATTCTTAGCTTTTCTGCCTTACTGTTAGTCTTCGAGTCTGTGTGTGTGTGTGTGACATTAAACGTAAATCATCCACACGCGAAATCCAGATGTTCTAGAGTCTTCTTATCGGTCATGCAACGTATTCCCGTCTTCTCATTCCTTGTGCACAGTCTGACGCATAATCCAGTCCACCACAATTAGGAATATCATCGGTGATAGTGGGCGACCAGCCTTGTCTTACTCCTGTATTCACTTCGAACGCCTCGCTGAGTTTTCCGTTGTGCATAATCTGACACGTGGCTGCAGGCATTGTCATATAGCCAAGTGTCGAATAAGGCTGATAAAGAATTGAGGTACGCCATAGTGTTGAAGTAGTTTCCAAATTACTTCTCGGTGAACGCTGTCTGTTGAAGGCCTTTTCGAAGTCAACGAAGTTAAAGTAGAGAGTGGTGTGACTGCTATTTTGTGCTTTGTTCGATGACGAAGCCTGACAATACTAATTGCCAGAGAGAGAGAGACAGAGGCTCTCAAGTGGAACGGACATGGGCAACAACGAATTGCGTGTTGGTCATATATATATATATATATATATATATATATATAATTAACTCGCTGTTAAATTTTAATCATGATACACTTTCCCTCTATTTATGTTTCTTCTATTTCTTCTAATAGATTATTCCATCATTTATACTAAATTCATTTATCATACGTTCAATACTGGGTTTAGTAATTTTCACTTTTTGGAGTTATATTATGCTATGGATTGTTAGTAGTATAGAATATTCTGGAGTTATGATCTTATACAATATATCTGGAATAATTCTACTGACATATTTGTAAGTACACTTATTTCTTTTTTTGTGTGGTAATGTTGTGCAAGTGTGTGTGTATATGTATAGCCATGTCGAGTATGAATGACAATGGAGATAACTATTATTTATATTTAATCATGCACTATTGTAACAATAAAAGACAAGGACCAGGCGACAGATCGTTTATTGAGAAAATCAACAGATATAGATTTTTATGTGCAATATTACTAGCGTTATTGTTAGCAGAGAGGCAACGTCTTCTGATTGGTTGTTTTCTCACTGGAAGTTATCCTGCCATCTCTTTGTGGCCGTTTCTTTGATGGTCAGACCATATGTCTGCTAATCGTATCCGCCCACGCTAAGTCTGCTGTGATTGGTTGTTGAGTTCCTCAAGGTTAAGCTTTGTTATTGTTTGTTAGCCAATCAGATCGAAGTAATCTAAGCACTGAACAGTGGCTGTTTGACGAAGTTGAAGTATCCTAGACAAAGTCAAGGTCGCTCAAAAGTTGACATTCAAGAACCAATTAGATATAGAGAATGCAATGAAAGGTCATACCAAAATCATGCCTGCCCCTTTGGACTTGGAGAAGGCAGATACAGTATTCTACTCATTCCCTCGTAGGTAATTTTTCTGTAAATTTATATTATTAGGTAGGGTTATGGCTTTTTTACATTGATATTTAGGGTTAAGGTTAGGATTATGACTAAAGTTAGGAGTAGGTTAAAGAACGGTGCCACAAATATCGATGGATCCTAAAGTACCATGATCTGGAGTCATCTGGATGAATGCATCTATCGCGCATGGTATAATTTCTCTATAGATCATCTGTGTTGTAACTTGGAGACATTCTTACAACACATAAACGACAACTATATCGTGCAATATCATCTTTGCAATGTTTATTTTAGTGCATTTTTCAGCGATTATGTGGCCTTTTTGAACCTGAATTCTTACTGGTTGCTCAAGGCCACTGTCTTTTTGGCTATGATAGTTTAACTTTGCCCTGCTATTCCACTCATTTGGAGGCTAAGTTCATCACCAGTGTAACCGGTATGACAACTCAGTTCAGAGAGGCGAATTACTTCACAAATCAACCGATTTTTTAGCAAGCTAGCTAGCTGGTTAGCTACTTGGGCGCAAACTGGTGATATCACATGAGATAAACGCTTAGAATTGTGTAGTAAATCGCGGTTGTCTGTACTTGTTGTATTTCAATGTTTGGCTTATCCATGTCTACAGGTCAACCGCGTAACGATGTTGTTTATTTCTGTTTGTTTGTGTGCGTGTGTGTGTCAAACTGCTTGGCTGATATAAGGATTTGCTTCGCTTATGTGAGTTTTCTAATATGGAGTTATTGCTGCTTCTCACTACACCTTTATTTTACCACACTGGTAGATATTCAAGTATTGGTTTGTAGGGATTTGATTGATTGGTTACAGGATTTCATCATGAGCTGACATTGGTTAGAGAACCATTGGAAAACAACCAGCTGGGAGTACTGGACAGCTGTTTCGTCAGTCTAGTTTGGTAGTCTTCATCAGTACGCACCCACTGCCGGGGTTCGAACCCAGGACCTTCTGGTTACAAGGAGAGCTAGCTCGTAGACCATTTAGCCACTGGAACCCGATCTAATGGCCCATGAATTCTAACTTCTACCAATTCACGACATAGTGCGACCGCTATTCAATGTCTTCGGTGAGTATTTGTCCTCACACCGGACCACCTGCTGCACCCTACTGGTCACGACTTCTCACTAGAACCCCAGGTAACCACTTACCTGAATAGATTTTGAGCCCCGGTGGGTGCGGACCGACGAAGAGTTCCAAACTAGGACGAAACAACTGTCTAGTACTCCCAGGTTTTCCAATGATTTTCTAACCAATGTCGGCTCATGATGAAATCCTGTAACACACTGGTGGATATTCCCGAGCGAGAACGAAAAATCAATTTGCTAGAACAACGGTCAATATAACTCGCCCAACCCCCACAAGCACAGTTGAATTCGTGGCTACATTTAGAAGTGGCTAGCCTAGTCTAGTCTAGGTACATCATTTTTCATTTGGGGAATCACCACTGGTCGTGTAGAAAATAAGACTTGTAGGTTACCAGGATTAAAAGTTCTTTGAACACCTGGTCCAAACTGGTCACAAAGCCAGTCAGCATTGAAGAGTCCTTCTCCATCATCATCTATCGGGTACCAAATAAACTGCCAAAAACATTCAGGTACCGCATACTCCAAACAGTGGAGGCTATCGCGATTCGTGTGAAACAATCGGTGCTCTGTGTGTGTGTGTGCAGAGGAAACAGGTTCAGCCAGCTACTACTACTGCCCTGACCGGCCTTCAGATGTTAATCACACTAATTCATTCACTATTATGATAAAGAGTAGGTTGTTGAGAAGAATATTCTTTGTTCAGTAACCATTCTTTTGAAAAACATTTTAATGCGCACTTTTAATCAATTATAATTGAGAATAATAAAGTGGTTAATCAATTTGATATTATTACGATTAATGTATAAAGAAGAGTGCTTGTGTCATGTGGACTGAGTTGCATACAATTTGACGCATATCTAATTTTCAATATTTGGTTTGTAAGGATTAGATTTGTTTTGACGAGTTGATCACGGATTGATATCACTTGGAGAACCATTGAAAAGCAGTACTGGAGTATTGGACATCTGTTTCATCAGCCTAGTTTGGGAATCATCGGCAGTACACACCCACTGGGGTTCAAACCCAGGACCTTCCGGTTACAAGGCGAGCGAGCTCGTATACCATTCAGCCACTGGGATCTGACTGGCTACAGGAATGAGTTTCCCGGAGTCGTGATCAGTGAGGATGGAGTTCCCACCGATGACATTGGTTGGTGCCACCAGTCGCGCTAAATCACGAATTTGTAGAAGTTAGAATTCATGGGCTGGCCATTGACGAGTGGGGTCCCATTGGCTGAATGGTCAACGAGCTAGCATGCCTTGTAACCGGAAGGTCCTGGGTTCGAGCCCTTGTCGTGGGTGCGTACTGCCAATGATTCCCAAACTAGGATGAAACAGTGCACATCCAGGACCTTCAAGTCGAAAGGTCAGCACACTAACCATTCAGCCACTGGGGTGAACAAATCCTAACTTCTGTCGATTTATGATTTGGAGCTACTGTCAACCAATGTCATTGAAAAGCTTTCCCTTCATATATGACTTGATGGATCCCACTAGTCACAACTTCTCATTACAACTTGGAAAAATCCCTCCAGTAGCCACGAAATACGCATTGAAACCCAGTTTTGGCGGAACTCAGTACTTCAACTATTGAATCATAAATATTTTTATGATAGTGTAACATACTAATATCGTGATTATTAATAAAGATTTTCTGATTTAAACATAGAATTACTTTGCACAGATGTGCAACAGTTCCAGTTACCTCATCCCCTCCATGTAGCACACAAATCAAGAGAAGAGAGTAAAGAGAGATACTAAACAGAAGTTTGTGGGAAAAACAATAGTAATATGAAGAGCAATAGAGATTTTTATTGGATGTGACAAATCACAAACAATGATGAGTGCATCTGTGCCATCAATGAGAACGAGGAATTTGAGCCGTATCACCAACTGTCTCCAGCCTTCATTAGTTTTTACCATCTTGAGGACCCCAACCAGTCAGTGAGGAAGTCTACACCTCCCTACCATGGCTGGCATAACAAATGTCCTAAGCACCTCTTTCAAACTATGTAACTTCACAACCTCGTCAGTTGATTTCCTCTCCTTATCTAGCACTCGACCGACGCCTAACCTCAATATTGCTCACCCTATTACATCGCCTAACACATACGGCAGATAGAATGCAGACACCTATGATCTAAGAAATTCATCTAGCCAGCCTTTTCATATCTTCCACTTCCAGTGGGGCCATGTCTCACTCACAGCCAGCCATAAAGGAGGAAAGAGCGAACTGCCTCTGAGCAGTACACACGTACTTTGGTAGACAGCCAGTCAGTCGGATATCACGTCTACTAAGCCAGAGATGGCGTAAGTCAGCAGGCAAATGCCAAACGAGCCTTCTGTATCTGTGCTGAGATTTCGTCAGCGATCAATCAAACTGTTGGTGCTGACTGATGCAAACTCCGAAATAAGTGAAGTGGTCAACACACTCCACCAACCACTTCACTCCTGTAGAATCATCTTACATTTGACAGCAGGAGCGAATCGCATGCCAAACACATTGGAAGATTGCTTGCTGCTCAAGGTGCTCAGAAGACTCTGCCTCATTTTGTCAGTGTCTTCCACTACGAAGGAGGACTATATCATCTGCATATTGTCAGTCAACGAAACTATTATTTTCAAAAGAATGGATACTGAACAAAGAGTACTCTTTTCGATAACTTCCTCATCAGGCTCTACAGTTATATATACATTATAGTGAATGAATGAATTAGTGTTATGAACAACAACATTAATGCTGTTGAAATAACATCGAATCAGTAATAATATTAATAGATTACAGCTCAATAGCATCAACATTAAAGTAAACTGAATGTCAGAAGAATTAGGAAAGATAATATTACAAATTCATGAATTTATAGTCTCTACTGAAGGCCTGCCAGGGCAGTAGTAGTGGCTGGCTGAACTTGCTTCGTTTGAACACAGAGCACTGGTTGTTTGAGGCGAATTACAATAGCCTCTGTTGTTTAGAGCATGCGGTGCTTCGATGATTTTGGCAATTTATTAGGCACCCGGTAGATTATAGAGAAGGATTCTTCCACGCTGGCTGGCTTTATGGCCGGTTTGCACCAGATGGTCTAATATCGAACTGTTAATGGTTTTAACTAAACCTTTACTTAGCCATACTGGCAGATGTTCTCGAGCTGGCACGAAAAATCAAGTTCCTAGAGAGCGAGTGACAATATAACTCGTTGAACAAGCGCATTTGAATTGGTAGATACAATTTGAAGTGGCTAGTCCAGTCTAGGTACTTCATCTTTCAGTCGAAGTAGCACCATCGGTCGTGTAGAGAGAGAATAAGACGTGTAGTTCACCGCCAGCATTAAAAGTTCTTTGAACTGATTTTCTTAACTTCTTCGTAATTATCTCACTTGGTATATCGATCGCCCTTGAATTGCAGTCGTATATATAAAGTGGCTTCTTGTTTTTGCAGACAGTGAGTAGTCTTTTCCCTGGTAACAACAAATCAATCTTCTTCTCCGTGAACTTGAGTCATATACGCTTGTTCATAAATGTTCAGTACAAATCTTGACGAATTATCGATCTAAAATTACCTTGAATTTATGTATGTATAATCACCTCACCATCCTTGTTCATTGCATAATGTTTGTTATTGTTTTGTTTAGATTTTTAAAGAATTTCATCCACACTTTATATCTTCCTATTTTCTTTTTCTCACCTTCTTTCTCTGTTTGTTTTATATACATACCATGGATAATATTTCAGTCCTGTGATAACATTTATCATCTATCATTTTCGTTATTTGGAGAAAATGATTTATCCTTCCAATCGATATCGACATCCTCAACAACATCAACATTACCACCACCACCAACATCACCACCATCATCACCACCAGCAACAACAACACTACAATACTACAACTGGTGGTAGCGGTGGTGCCGGTAACAGTAGTAATTACCAGAAAACTTCATCTCATTCCACTTTTGCTCGTTTAATACATTTTCTGAAGGTTAGTTCTTTACTTTTACTATTATTATTATTATTATTATTAGTATTGATTGTTGATTGTGTGAGGGTTGAGATACTTACTGCCCGGACGCCCAGACAGAAGCAGGTGGTTGTCTTAAGGGAATACAACCTCTGCCCCCCCCGAGCCTTTGAGCCTTTGGAGTGTAATTCTCAAGGCAGCTGGATAGCTGGAAGTGGAAGGGTTATGGGCGGTTGTTACTTCCAGGCTGCCCACCCCTCGGGAAGTTGATTGATTCTTCGAGTACCTGAAACAGAGAGAGAGAGGGTTAGTGTTGCGTGACCGCAGAGCCAAGGGGACACAACTGCTTGAGGCCGGCTAGTCACACATACACGGCCTGTATGAACTGGTTTCTTGGATTGGTTCCGTATTAGTAAACTTACCGCCGGTTATGGACCACCGTAGGTGAGGTAAGTCGGGATGTACAATTTTTGGGGTCGACCTTTCCTAACCCCTTCTCTCCGGAGTAGAGAGACAGCATAGCTGGCATGCTGGTCGTCTGAGGGAAACACCTTACTGCTGTTACATCCCTGTTCCCCAGCAGTACGACTTCGCCCTCAGACCCCCAGCATAAAGTGTAAGAAAGATTCTTACACAATGCCGATAACTACTTTTAGTCTAATCGCTATCCTAACAATCTTCCTGTTATGGTAGGACCTGCAGGAACATTGGTCCAGCCAGTGTAGCTTGTTGGGTCATCGCGATGTGCAAACCCGACTACCACGTCAAGATAGCAGTTGTCAGCTGGGGTTGTCAGTAGTAGTAGTAGTAGTAGTAGTGGTACTATTATTGATTTTTTGTGTTCCAAGTAGAACATAAGGCCTCTTCAGTAGTACATATCTCTCTGTTGTACTCGAGTATTTGCCATTATTTTTAACTGGCTCCATAACTTCTCATACTGTTTATGGTTTGAAGAGAAGTGTTCATAGCCTCCGTCAGATAAGTCCTGTTCACTGCCGCCTATACGCCACGGTGGCGGGAAGGGGTTGTGTTCCACGCAAAAATGAAATGGTGAATGTGAACGTCCGCGGCTTACAACTGGACTGGTGTGAATCTACTAGTGTCTTCATTATAATAAAGATTTTTTGTATTTCCCAATGAATGAAAAACAAAACCGTATAGTTTTTATTGATGTTTCCCTACCTAATGCTGCTAATAGCTTTACCAAAGCATTATTAAACCAGATTTTACAAAATCCACCCAGCTTATATATATAACAACTTAATCATCGTTCACCAACATGAGGCAATTTTTATGTTGTTGTCAAGTCGGCCAATTGGTAAAGATAACAAAACCAGGTAGGTGTAAATTGTAGGATTTGATAAGCGCATAAAATTATAAAAGCAGCGTGTGTTTACATAATGAAATTGCGTATCACATTTGTGTTGATTTTGTCATTTCATGGAGTACCGGTAGGGGCTTTGTAACCAGGTCAAATTCTGTTTTAGTCCATCATTCATATTCAGTTCAGACAATTTGAATTCCATTTGATATGAAGTGCTTCTGATGATGTGAAACGTTCTTTGTGATTTCTGAAATTTTTCTGGATTATTTCAATATTGTTGGAATCAATTTTTCGGCTTGATTCTATAGCGTTGCGTGTAGATAACGAGCTATGGCTGGTGATTTTTGAAGTTTTTCTAGTTCACTAACTGGATTTCTCGGTGGTTGGCTCTACGGCTTTCATTGACAACGCCAAAATGACTCCATGTTGAGGAACGATGATTAAGTTTTCCTATGTAAGCTGAGTGGATTCTGTAAATTCTGGTTTAATAATGCTCCTACTTTGATAAAGCTATTATTAGTAGCAGTAAAACACAACACGAATATCGTTTTGTTTTTCTTTCATTGGGAAATACAAGAAAACCTTTATTATTATGAATATCATATATCCAATGCCCAAATTTCTTCAAACTGACACCAGCATATATATATGCTGGTGTCTTTTTATGGGGACCTGGAAAGCCGTCATTCCGAACCTTTGGTGGTGGTATACATGAACTCCAGAATCCGAAGGCATTGAATGGTGTATGTGAACTTGTTTTGGTCATTAGAAATCATAATAATGTAGCTCCAGACACTGTTGTGGATGAGACTTAATGCTCGAGAAGGTTTGGGGGGGCTACCTTAATACAACCACCTCCCTTCTTTGGTAGCTTGACAGGGTAATCGTCTTTTTTTCGAATCAGTGGGCACCTTTGCTTCCTTCCTTCCAAACCTTTCGCAATAATGGCATGAGCACATATGCCGCAGTCTGTGGGTCCGTTTTCAGTGCTTCGGGGTGGGGGAATTCTGTTTGTCCCTGTTGCTTTCATTGCCAGACTTCAGTTGCTTGATTACATTAAAGATTTCTGCCTCCGTTGGAGGATTGGTGTCCACTGACAGTTCTGTGCGCGCTTTTGGTGGTAATGGTATTTCTGGGCGAGTTGCAGGTGATAGTCGTTTCAAGAGTCCGTTGAAGTGATCAGCCCAGTGTTTTTATTTGTTTCTCCTCTATGGTAATCAGATTTATATGAACTGTGATCAAGATTTGACCGGATAGTTGCAAAATAATTGAGCGCTGAGTGAGAAGTAGACATTTATAGAATTATATTTGTAAAGTCTCAGCGAAATTGAAATGATTAATTCCAACGTTTCGTTAGGCAATCTGGTCCGAACTTCTTCAGGGAAATTAATCGAATTAACATAACAGAGGTTTATATATAAAAGGACATCTCTTGTTTTTAAGTTGTTTGTCCTGTCATGTGAAACAAGAAACACCTATCGATAGGTATAATAAACAAAACAAAAATTTTTATATGAACTGTGATCAAAATTTGACCTCTCAATTATTTTGTAACTATCCGGTCAAATCTTGATCACAGCTCATATGAGAATAACAAATGTTTTATGACTGTTTACCCACACACACATACACACACACCATTGTATAATGCATATACACATAAATATTTTAACAAAAGTAGACTAATTTTGAAAGTCTGAGGTCAAATTTTGATCACAGTTCATACAATTTTTGTTTATTATACATGTTGATGCTTGTTTCATGGCTCATGATTGGACGAAGTTTCAAAAACAATTGATGTTCCTTTTATATATATAAACCTCTGTTATGTTAATTCGATTAATTTCCCTGAAGAAGTTCGGACCAGATTACCTAACGAAACGTTGGAATTAATCATTTCAATTTCGCTGAGATTTTACAAATATAATTTTATAAATGTGTAATTAGATTCGCTTGAACATCTTGTATTGATTTCATCATCTGAGTTGATCTAGTCTCCCGACAGAGACCTGGTTATCTATCATAAAACAGATTCATATGATTGACCTCAAAAGTTTCAGTTGTATTCTTAGGCGAGGCTTTTCAAAAGCATTTTTTCGATCTCAAATATTTATTGTCTTTCTCTCTCGGGTTTTCTTTTATGTCCTGAGATCGCTTGTATTGCGTTTTTGTAGAAATTACTGGACAACGTATGTAGTTAGTTCGTAAGAAATAATCCATAGTGCTTCGTGGTCATGATCACAAAGTTCACATGTGAATGAGTTGAAAATTGTTTTCAATATCAATTCAGATGGTGTACGAATAAAAGTATCCTTAGTATGGCTCATATTGAAGCCTTAAAGAGAATCCGATCAAATGAAAGCATTCTTTCTTACAACAAGACCGGATAAGGCGAGTTGGGGTCATGTTATTATTAACTAAAGCTGACTACTATATCGATAAAATGAACAGTATTCTACAGGCCACTACAAAGTAGAGCCTTGGTACCCAGTGTCCCCAAATTCTCGAATGTCTAAAGCCTTTAGGAACAGATATACGCAGATTGGTAAGGGCTACCTAGAATTCACAATCCCTAAACGTGCCAATGAGATCAATTTTAGATATGTTTAACTCACCATATCATGAAATAGAAAGATAGATAGACCGATGACTGGCTGACATACTTGAACCAGTATAGCTAAAAGTGGCTAAGTATAGCTTTCCAATTTTGAGAAAAAGTGAAATATAAGAAGATCAACGATGAAACAATGATCTCTATGGATGTTATGTCCCTGTTCACTGACATTCCTTTACTAGAGATCATCGAAGTCATCTGTGAACTCCAACGGTGTGAGCAGTCGGGAAGTAACAATCGCCCACACACACTTCCAAAAGCACACGAATCCCTGTTGATCATTGATCTCCTTTATCCATGTCACTCTCATCATCTTGTGTTCCCACTACTTGTTATGTTCCTTTCATTCTGTGAACATAAATAGCGATGAGAGCCAGAAAAACACTCCTGATAGTCTCTTAAAGCCACGCTGCCAACTTCGTATTGAAGCATTTAACTTTGGGATCCTCTGCTAAATCGGGCAATAGGCATCACTAGCCAGAACTCTGGCATCTCGAGCCATGGATGTATGTTGTGTTTCGCAGACACACAAACTCGAAGACTTACAGGCAGGCAGGCAGGCGAAAACCAACAAAATGGATGGAGAGGTAGGCAGGCAACGAAGACAGGACTGACTCCAGGTGAATGTAGAGAAGACGGAGGTTATGAAGATAGACAACAAACGGAACCAGTCACCATCAACGGAAGGCAGAGATTTGACAGAGGTTACTTCCTGCCTTCACTTATCTGCTCAGCTAGGAAGCCAGCATGGTTTCAACCACAGGCAGTGGGACTACACAGATGAAGATGTCGAAGCCGGCCTACCAGATAGACTGTGTCGGTTAGGCAAGATTGCAATGTCTTCATCAAACTATCACCAGTTCGGAAATCTGCTTCACTCACTCAGCGAGCCAGTTAGCCAGCATGAGGAACAAGATAGATTTGGATTCTATTCAACACAAATGTCAAGTTAGTCAGTCATTCGGTTCTTCTATACGGGTGAGAAACTTGCACTGCGTGTGAGTCAGTCACGAAAAGCATTTCCAACAGCCTGTTGCAGACTTTTACCAACAATTGCCACCTTCACTGGCTGGCTCCACACTG